TATAATTTTAAATTCACAGTAGTCTTCAATTCAAAGTAGTTTTTGATTTCTTCTATTTAAAAACTCCGTACTGTACAGACGTTGCTGTGATACTGATTAAACTCCGAGTTTGCCGCGCTAATCCATAGCCAACTTACGATTTGTTTGATAGGATATCACACTTGAAACCAATAATTGCAATTTTTTTATTACGTAGTAAGAACTTACGACAAGCAAAAATTCAAATAAATTATAGATATATATATAAATATATGAATTTATTTCTATATATACATATATATATATATATATAATTATATATATAGAGAAATATACTTTCATTATTCATTGTTCACTATTCATAAATCATATTCGATAAATCATATATTCATTATTATGTTTGAAATAATCATTTATAATATCGATATTCTAATAACATTGAAATGCAATAAATTATAAAAGTTTTATAATTTTTCAAATACATAAAAAATATCATTATAAAATATTTTTTTCATTATTTAATTACAAATTTCATTAAATAAAACAAGTTTTCTTTGTTTTCGAAAAATCACTTTTTGTATCATTATGTGTATTATTATGAATGTAATGATATTTATTTATTTCAAACTAATAATAAAATTAAATAAAATAATGATTTAAACAAAAGAAATTTAATAATATAAAATGAAAAATACCAAATTTAAATTTATTATGAAATGTATTTTTTTATAATTTTATATTTTTTTTAAATAAATTATTTTATTAATAAGTTTAATTTTAAAAATATTATATAATTTGATATAAATTCACATATACATGATAATTAAATTTTAATTTAATTTAAAAGTTTTAATTAAAATAATATAAAAAATCAAGTTATCACATGCGCAGAAGACGATAGCAGAGTATATACACATACATACATACACACACACACACACATATACATTATAGTTCATATAGGTTAAAGAATTTTATTGTCACGCATAAGATTATTAATTTATCATATAACCAAAATTAAATTGTGATAGTGAAACATAATAATTTAATTAAACAATTTAAAATGCCAGGAACACCTATGAAAGAAAAGAATGATACATTACAGAAATTGCAAATAACGGAACGCCCTCCGGTTACAAATTATGAACCTGTTGTGCGGGAATTAACACAAACTGATAGATTAAATAAAAAATTATTGGTATCGCTTTTAGAAAGAATGAATAAATCAACTGGCGAATTCGATAAATTTATGGACAAAGGAAATAACAGTTGTGATTCTCAAAATGATAATGAGTTTTAAATGTAAATATGCATATTATAAAAGCTAACCTACATATATCATTAAGATCGACAAGATTATCCTTACAATTGTATAATTATTAAAAAACGAATATTATTTAAGAAGAGAAGAAAATTTACAGAGTTTTTTGCATTTAAATATTTATATTTAAGAATTTTCTAAAAAATTTAGTATTAAACGAAGAATTAATATTTTGTATATAAGAAAGTGGGAATACAACTTGTTGAATATGACGACGCTATCAGATACTTCTGATTATAATGAAAATGAACATGATATAATAGTTCAATATGAAAATCAAGAGTCAGAGGAAGATCAAGATATTATTCAACAAAAGTTAGACTTGGAAAATGAAGAAAATAAAGAAGAAAATATAAAAAGAATTGATCCATCAACTTCATCTAAAAAACATATAGTAAGAAATCCCTTACCTAAATTAAATACAGAACGTTTAAAGGGTCCTAAAGGAATTCATACTATTGAAAAATATTTTGAAGGTTTCAAATATTATGAAAAAGGATATGAAAAATTAGATTTAGATAGAATTATGAAAAGATTAGAACATTGGGGACATAGATTATTTCCTAAATTAGATTTTGATGATTTTCTTGAAAGATTAGAAAAATTAGGTACTAAAAAGGATCTTCAGGTGTTTATAAAGAAATATAGACAAGATATGATCAATGAAGATATTGATATTATTAACCAGGATAATAATATAGATATAGAAGAAAATAAAGAACAAGATGAACCTATTGATGAATTTGATTTATTGATTGCAGAACAAATAGAAAAACAAAAGCAAGTTATGCAACAATCTTCATTTAATGTAGCTGCAACTAATAATGATGCATTTGATAAGTTATTATCAGAATCTAATACTGCAAATTCTTTGTTTACAACTAATACTTCTGATTCTTCACAATTAAGTAATGAAGTAAAAGAACGTATAGAAAAAAATAGGCAACAAGCTATCCAAAGAAGACTTGCAAAACTTAAAGAAATACAAGAAAAAACTAAATAAAGAAACTTAAAAAAGTTAGAATTTAATACAAATTTTTTATCTACAGCTAATATTTAATTCTTCACAATTCAATAATACGATAAAAAAAAAAATCAGAAAAGCTATCCAAAAAAGATTGTAAAATTTAAATGCAAGAAATGCAAAAAAGAACTAAATGAAAGCTTAAAGAAGTTAAAATTGCACAATCAGAAAATAGTAAATTATATTAAAAAATAAATATTTTAAAAAATAATGGATCTAAGAATATAAATATTATAATATAACTTGTAAAATAGTCATTAAGAAATTTTATATTCTTTAAAAGTATTGATATAGCAATTAAAAAAAAAATATGTTAAGTACATTATTTATTATAGATTTTTGAAGAATACTTCTTAGATTTTTATGTAATGTGAAATAAATAAAAAAATCATAATATAAATTATATATTTATTTTACTTAAGTTCTACGTTTTTGTGTACTAATATATAATACATTATTACCACGAATAAATGCATCACCATATTTATCTTTCAATTGACCATTTACATATTCTTCTGTTTGTTCAAGTGCTATATTCATATAACCATCAAGACAAGCTAAAACACCTAAAAAATAAAAATAATTTTTTAATTATTAAATTATTTTAAGTTACTTTACTATATAGTAATACACATAAATACATTACCTCTATAATCTACACCACTATTTAATTTTACAACAACAGGACGTCCATGTATCTGTTGGATAAATTGAGATAATGCTTCTTTGCGACTCATCTGTAAATTTATATACAAAAAAATAAATATTTATTTATATAATATTTTTTTTCTTAAATAAGGTTAGAATCAATCAAGATAATTTTATCATTTATAATTTTTATTGTTATGCATTATTTTTAATGTTTTTTAAACATTTTTTAAATTATGTTTAAAATATTCTATTAAAAATTTTATAATTTTACCTTTTAATTTTACTAATTTATCTTTTGATACACAGTACCTAATAAATTTATACTATTGATGAGATTTAATGAATCGGTAATCGTAATAAATGTACGTTTACAAGTAAATATAAATATTTATATCTACGGTACATAAAATATAAAATAAAAAAGTTTTTTTGATATACACATTTACATTAATTGAACATTGTATTTTATTTATTTCAAAATAAATCAACCAATCCAATTGCAAATAATAACCATAAACTAAATTTTTATAGAATTTTATGAAACAAAATACTATTTAAGTTACTTATTACATTTCATATGTTTTAATTATTATTAATATAACATTTAAATATTATTATTTATTTAAAATTTTTTTTTATATTCTATACAATTTTTATAAAATAAAAAAGATATATATTAATATTTAGAGAAACGATAGTTATATTCAACTTTAATATATTTCAAAGATTTTTATAGTATTATGTATAATTATTTTATTATATAGTTTATAAAACAAAAATTAAAAAACTTTATAGACTAAAACATAACAGTTTAGTGATGTTTATTATAACTTTATTTTTATGATTATTTACTAAAATATATTTAAAAAAATTTTTGAAAAATAATAATTATTAATTTATAGAACTTATTAACTTATATTTCTTTATATTTTTATGTAATTAATGTGACATAGAGGACATTCCATATATCTTATATTTTTGTGAGATTGTTTTATCGTTAAATATGGTGGTATTAAAATGAAAAATTTGAATAATTTTCTTTTTGCAAGTTAGGATAAAAATGATTTTTAAAAATTTATTTTACTTTTTATACTACTTTTTATTATGAATAAGTATATAAATTAGAATTATAATTAAAGCGTAATTACATAAATCTTTATACTTCATAGATAGAGATACGTTGTTTGCAGAAATTTCACTAATTTGCAATTACTATGGTACATTGGTTACCAAAAAAATGTTTTAAAAAGAGGTATTATTCTTGATTTTAATCATTTATTTTTATTTGATCATATATTTTTTAATCTTAGATTTAATACACATACAATCGTATAAATTTACGAATAAATACTAACATTTTGATACATCAATTTAATTTAATTAATATTTTAAACTATTGATTAAACTATCGATAAGTGTAATTATTTCCACTTTAAAAAATTATTAAATTATTAATTAAATTAGTAATTATTTAAAAAAGTTTTAAACTTTTAATCGTATTTGTTTAACTTATATTTTTTTCATACAATATAAATGTCATAATATAATTTTTATTATTTTCAAATATAAAAAAAATATTTTTTTATATCAATATTATATATAATTATTTGCTTGCTTATTAGTTTGATTTGATGATTTATTTTTAATTTTAATAAAAAAAATTTCAAAAATTATATATGCAATAAATTGTATATACTTTGATAAATCTAATTTAATTTTATTTAGCATGTAATATGAACTCATTGATTTTAATTTAAATATTTTAATATATTTTTTAATATATATATTTATTTATATTATAAATTCAATTTTTTTTTGTTATATTTTTAACATTGGATTCATTGGATATAATAAAATAAAATAAAAATGATTACATTTAAAAAGAATCCTAAAATAACAATATAAGATCAAGCAAAAATAATCAAAATGATTATATCTGAGGTTTTAGTATTGATTTATTTTAAAAAATGACAAAATTGTTAGATATTCATAAAGTTTTGTTAATCAAAATAATATGTAGATTGTAATATTAAATCTTATATTAAATCTTTTAAAATTTCAATTTTTGAAATCATATAAATCAATGATTTCATAATTATCTATATCTTTGATTAAATTTGCATTTTAATTTACATAGGTAATTTAATAGTAGACAATATTAAAACAATATATATCAGAAAATTTCTAATTTTCTTTCAATATTAATAATTATTTATTGCAAAATATAATCTATGGATGTAATGATATAAATATGGATATAATTATACTTTCATGCATGTTTAAACAAATGATATATTTATTATTATATCATTAATATATTAGTAGTTTATAATGACACATATAAATTACATTAATGGGGAATTTAAAAAAGCACCTTGTGTTTGATAGCTACTAACAAATATGCAGACAACTTATCTGCTATTAGCAGCAATATTACCTTTCGCCGCTCTTGATATTTGGTATACAAAAATGTAAGTCTCTTTGTTATAATCATAATACAACATATCTATCTTTTTTTTATTAGAATTAATAATTTTATAATATAACTTCTAAAATAAAGAAAATTCCTATTCCTCATTAAGAGAATATCTTATTTAATGTAATCTTATCTAATACAATTTTAAAATTTTTTATAAAATATATATTTACAATATTTTTAAAATTTATATATTTGACGAAAGATAATTTTATTTTAATATATTAATAAGCATTTTATATTAATATTTAATT